GCTACTTTATTGCCCTTTTTTATTAGTTATAAATGTCCACTATCTTATCATCTGTACGTAATGATATATTTATCTTTTCCACAGTTATACTTCTTATTTGTTTCAAATCTCATTTTAATTGTTAGAAATCCTTTGTTAAATAATGGTAATAGCCGAAACCGGTTTGGCTCAGTGGATAGAGCGTCGGCCTGCGGACTGAAAGGTCCCAGGTTCGATTCCGGTCAAGGGCATGTACCTGGGCTGCGGGCACATCCCCAGTGGGGGGTGTGCAGGAGGTGGCTGGTCGATGTTTCTCTCTCATCGATGTTTCTGACTCTCTGTCTCTCTCCCTTCCTCTCTGTGAAAAATCAATAAAATATATTAAAAAAAAAATAATGGTAATAAGGGCAGGTTCCCTTTTGTATTACTGACTTTCATGAAAGCACCAGTATTTGAGTGGGCAGCGTGGTATTGCCTGGATTTCATAAATCTATTCGTTAGCCTCCTATGACTCAGTTAGTTGATCGTCATTTCATGCACCTGGAGGTCACTCGTTCAATTCCCAGTCAGGGCACATGCCAGTGTTTCGGGATTCATCCCCAGTTCAGGGTGTGCAGGGGGGTAGCTGATCCATGTTTCTCTCTCATTGATGTTTTTCTCTCTCTCTCTCCCTCTCCCTTCCTCTCTCTGAAATCAATAAAAACATTTTTAAAAAACTATTCTTTATTATTGTAAGAAAGTTTTATTTAGTTCTGAGTTTACTATTACAGATGCCTCTTTAGCATCTAAATGAATATATAGCTTACTCCCTTTGAACTACTGATGTCATGTATTAGATCAGGTGTTTGGTGATAAACTCTGCTATATTTTTAAGCCAATTGTAAAATTTAACTTGGAAGTACCAGACTGTTTTGATTACAATGGACTTGTAGTACAGTTTGATATCAGGTAGTGTGGTACCTCCAACTGTGTTCTTCTTTCTCAAGATTGCTGAGGCTATTCAGGGTCTCTTTTGGTTCCATATAAATTTTTGGAATATTTGTTCCAGATCTGTGAAATACATCATTATTATTTTAATAGGAATTGCATTGAATCTATAGATTGCTTTGGGTAGTATGGAATTTTAATGATGTTCATTCTTCTTATCCATGAACACAGTATATGCTTCCACTTATTTGTACCTTCCTCAATTTTTTAAAAATATATTTTATTGATTTTTTACAGAGAGGAAGGGAGAGGGATAGAGAGTTAGAAACATCGATGAGAGAGAAACATCGATCAGCTGCTTCCTGCACACCCCCTACTAGGAATGTGCCCACAACCAAGGTACATGCCCTTAACTGGAATCGAACCCAGGACCTTTAAGTCTGCAGGCCAACGCTCCATCCACTGAGCCAAACCAGTTAGGGCAATTTTTTTTCAATGTCTATAGTTTTCAGAGTATCTTTCTATTTTCTTTTTTTAAAAAAATATATTTTTATTGATTTCAGAAAGCAAGGGAGAGGGAGAGACAGAAAGAAACATCAAAGAGAATCATTGATCAGCTGCTTCCGCACACCCCACACCAGGGATTAAGCGCGTCACGCGGGCATGTGCCCTGACCAGGAATTGAACCATGACCTCCTGGTCGGACTCTATTTTCTACTTCACTTAATTTTGATAAATCTTTCCACAAAATTTTTAATTTTGTCAATATTTTCAAATTTATATCCAGGTATTATGAAGTAGTACATAAAAATCATTTAAAAAACACTTGTGTGGCCCTAACCGGTTTGGTTCAGTGGATAGAGCATCAGCCTGTGGACAGAATGGTCCCAGGTTCGAGTCCATCAAGGGCATGTGCCTTGGTTGTGGGCACATCCCCAGTGGGGGGTGTGCAAGAGGCAGCTGATCGATGTTTCTCTCTCATCGATGTTTCTAACTGTCTGTCCCTCTCCAGTCCTCTCTGTAAAAAATCAATAAAATATATTATAAAAAAACAACAACTCGTGGGCCCTGTTGGTGTGCCTCAGAGGTTGAGGGTCGACCTATGAACCAGGAGGTCGCTGTTCAATTCCTGGTCAGGGCACATGGCCGGATTTGGGGCTTGATCCCCAGTAAGAGGCATGCAGGAGACAGGCAATTGATTTTTCTATCTCTCTATCACTCTCCCTTCCTCTCTCTCTAAAATTCAATAAAAACATATTTTTTTAAAAAAATAAAGACCTTTCTTGACCAACCTAAGTAGATCCTCCCTGTTATTCTGTAACAGTTTACTATGTTAGTGTATCACATTTCTTTTTATTTTTTTAATATATTTTATTGATTTTTTTACAGAGGGGAAGGGAGAGAGGGAGAGAGCTAGAAACATCGATGAGAGAGAAACATCGATCAGCCGCCTCCTGCACATCTCCTACTTGGGATGTGCCCGCAACCCAGGTACATGCCCTTGACCGGAATCGAACCTGAGACCTTTCAGTCTGCAGGCCGATGCTCTATCCACTGAGCCAAACTGGTCAGGACCCATTGATTTTTTTTTTTTTTTAGAGAGAGAGTGAAAGGGAGGGGTGGAGGGAGGGAGAAAGAGAGAGAGAAACACAATGATTGGTTATCTCCTGCACATGCCCTGACTGGGCTGGGAATGTAGGCCAAGGCTCTAACCATTGAGCCACCGGCCAAGGTGTGTACCCAAATAAAGCTCTAAGGGGTGGTTAGACTCAGAAATTAGAGCTAGAGATTTTTTAAATATATTCTTATTTGTTTCAGATAGAAAGGGAGAGGGAGAGAGAAATATCCAGGATGAGCCCTAGCCGGTTTGGCTCAGTGGGTAGAGCGTCAACCTGAGGACCAAAGGGTCCCAGGTTCGATTTCGGTCAAGGGCACATGTCCAGGTTGCGGGCTCTATCCCCAGTGGGTAGGGTGCAGGAGGGAGCCAATCAATGATTCTCTCTCATCATGGATGTTTCTATCTCTCTTCCATCCTCTCTGAAATTAATTAAAAAATTTTTTAAAAAAGAAACATCCATGATGAGAGAGACTCATGGATCAGCTGCCTCCTGCAAACCCCCAACTGGGGATGGAGCCCACAACCCAGGTATGTGCTCTTGACCAGAATCGAACTTGGGACCCTTTGGTCCAAAAGCCGACGCTCTATCCACTGAGCCAAACCGGTTAGGGCAGAGCTAAAGATTTTACTTTGGGATTCTTTCATCATCTGGTAGATGGCATTGCCTAGGTAAAAGCACTTTCTTTAAGGAACATTGATTCCCCAGGAAGGGCTAAATAAAAAGCATTGGATTGTCCACATCTATTATTTTAAATCTTTAATCTATAGGATTACTCTAGTTTATCACATTTTATGTTAAAATATTTTGGCTCTTCATTTTTCACTTATAACATTACCTATGACTTTTGGATTATGAGGTAAATTGTTGCTGAAATTCCTGAATACCATAGCAGGTACATGTCTGTGATTTTTGGTAGTGGATATCTCAGATGCTTGCTAACTAAACGCATTGTGTCATTAATACTTTCGTCAAGTATTCCACGTTTTGATACAGAAACCTATGAAAATAATCTGGCACTTGATGTGCTTAGGCACTTGGAAGAGTGCTCACATAACTTTTCCTCGAACCACTAATCGGCCATAGCATAGAGCTTATTTAGGCAACCAGTGAGCTCCCGAAAATAAGCTTGTTTTTAAATTAATAGGGCACTATTTTCCATTAGAGCTGCATCGGATAAAATTATTACCCGTCTCGCGTCAGAAATTCAAATGCCTTTGTCTTGTCTCTCGTGTAACTAGCAAACCGGTTACAAAGGAAATGTCACTTCACATAAGATTTAGTTGCCAAGATTTTTGAAAAGAAACAGACATGTTCCTCACAGCTGCCCGAACCGTGCAGCTTGGAGGGGCTTCAAGTTGCCCAAACTGTGCTGCGAGCAAGCCCTTGACTGCTCGGAGGGCCGGGGCTGAGCTGGAGCCCTGCACAACTCCCGCCGGGCGGCTGCGCACCCACATCCGGCCTCGGCATCATCCCAGACCGGACCCAGCCCCGTCCCCCTAAAAGCACCAGGGCTTTCCCAGCCCGAGCCGCGGACGCCCCTCCCTCGGCCCCAGGCTCCCGAGAAAGTGGAGCGGCGCGGGGCCCGGGAGGTCTCATTGTCCCGCGGGGGAGGCCGGGTCTCCCCGGAACGACTCCCGCTGGGTCCCATCGGCCAGGTCGAC